TTGAGCATCCTCAGACTGTGGTACCTGGGAGGGTCTTGGGCCTGTTCCCCAAGGATACTGAGGGATGACTGTATGGTAAATGCTGTCATACCACACATAGCATTCGTCAGCTTGCCCTTTCCACATAACATGGCTAAGATCTGTTGGCAGACACAGACCTAGTTACATTATTTTTAACAGCTTCAGAATATTCCATAAAATGAATCATAATTTAATTATTTCCTTACTAAGAAATAGTTACTACGCTGCACCTAATTTTTTATATTGTAAATAGTGCTTTAGCAAACCCTCTAGGACATGTCTCTTTGTGCATGCATGTGAATAAAGGATAAATATGTGTAATTTTTAGAGGTAGAACAAAATGTTCCTTGTTGAGGCTGTAACAATAATCACTTTGACCAAATTATATAACACAAGTTTCCCCGCCCCTTTATCAATAATAAATATGTAGTTGTTATTCTTGTCAATATAATGGTTGAAAAATGTTACTTCACTTTCAGTCACGTTGTCTTACTATAACCTAATAACACTAAAAAACATGTGGATTTCATTTTCTTGCACACAAGTGAATTGTGACCATAAGTATCATTGTATATGTCTTCCAGGACTTTAGGAATTTTTTAATTTATGGATAGAATAAAAAGAAAAAAAGATTTCCTGAGGTAATTCACATGTGGCAGAAGAGACAAAAAAAGGAAAGGAATTTTGTTACAAGATGGGTTCAGAAGTAAAGTAAGCCATGTTCTCTAGGAAAGGAATGGAGTTGCAGCCAGGAGCCAAAGGAGGTCAAGGGGCAGTGGCCAGCCACCAGGTGGCAAGGAATAAAGTGAACAGACTGGGGGAGCATGGGCTGCACCTGGGAAACATATTCTTTAACTCCGGTGTTTAAAACTGTGGGCCTTGAAAATGCCTATATTTGTTTACTGGGAAAACAGTCGTCTATATCCATATTCCTTGAATCAATTCATCTGAAAAAGCCATGTGCTCAAATAAAACCCAGCAGTAACAACTTTGCCTTTGATTGTCTAAAAGGAAGATGAAATACAGTATTTGTAGTAACATAGCAGTTCTGCAAGGCATACACTATTCTCATTTTACAGATAAGGAAAACTGAGGCTAGGAGAGATGAAGTATCTTTGCCCAACTTTACAGTCATCAGTTGGCGTAGCAGAAATGAGCATTTGGTACCAACACGCTCATTCTTTCTACCAGGCTCTGCTGCCCCAAAAAGGATGGAAGAACTTGGCCCTGGTGCTAATTTCTCATAATCTCCTTGTATCATCTTGGGAATGCCATTTAAACTCTTTGGACCTTGAGCTTGATTTTTTTTTTGGAGGAAGGGGGTGGAATTAGATAATCTATGGGGTTTCTTCCAGTTCTAACATTTTTGGACTCCATTTACTATCTCCTGGACTACAAAGTTGAATTAGGGTTGGGGAGAGAGAGAGTGCATGCACTTTCATCTGGAGGCAAATACAGAGCATGTACCTTTTAGAGATACAATTCCAGAGCAAGAAATCATTCGTTTGGGAATGGGGAATCAGAGCAGGACAAGGAGGCCACTCCAGGAGACTGTTTCAGAAAGCTCAAAGTTTCAAGAAGGCTTTGACATTCAGTGGGATGAAATAGGGTTCAGAGCCAAGCTTGTATAAGAGGAGAGCGAGGAGAAGGGAGGACTAAAGAGACTAATTTTTGAAAGGTCGTACTAAAAGCCCATTTATTCAACATGAGTTTTGACAAAGCCAATTTTTCAATTACTATTATCTATTTGGAACTGTTTCCTGGAGTGAACATGAATTCTCCATTTATGCATAGTTGGCAACTAGAAACTAAGAATGAGAAAATAGGATCATGCTTAACGTAAGAAAAGGAAAGGAATCGATTTTTTTTAACAGTTTTTCTGATTATGAAAACAGACTCATGATAAAAAGTTTCAAATAGACAGAAATTATTAAAAATCACTTATAATCCCACTACATCCATCACGTAGGTACATTTCTTACAAGTTCTTTTCCTATACACACTTTTAAAACAAAATTGGGATTCTATTACACATGCAATTTTATCTGATTTTAAAAATTCAGTATTATAAATACAAAACATTTTCTCCAACTGTTAGAAATTCTTCAAAGCAGCATTTTTAACGGCTGCAAAATGTTCCATATTTGGGGTATGCCATGATTCACTGAACTCTTCTCCTACAAGAGGACAAACAAAAACCTATGTGACAGAAAAACATGAGAGAAGCCGGGAACTACGGGATTTGGGAGCTTTTCAAGTATTACGGGTAGTAGTAACCCTCTATCTGTAAAATGCATTGAGAATACTTTTGCCAGGTCTATTTCACTTTGTAACGTTGTGGAATCTACTTGCCAGAAAGTCTTTAAAAAATACGTCAAATATGTGTATTTTCTTTTTTTGAGACGGAGTTTCACTCATGTTACCCAGGCTGGAGTGCAACGGTGCGATCTCGGCTCACCGCAACCTCCGCCTCCTGGGTTCAGGCAATTCTCCTGCCTCAGCCTCCTGAGTAGCTGGGATTACGGGCACGCACCACCACGCCCAGCTAATTGTTTTGTATTTTTGGTAGAGACGGGGTTTCACCATGTTGACCAGGATGGTCTCGATCTCTTGACCTCGTGATCCACCCGCCTCGGCCTCCCAAAGTGCTGGGATTACAGGCTTGAGCCACCGCGCCCGGCCGTGTATTTTCTTTAAAAATATTTAGGATTTTCTGGCTTGCTTTAAAAGGTTTCTAAACTTCCAGGTTATTTTAAAAACATTCTGCCAAATTTCCATTCTAGATACTGATTATTCTATCTTTTTTACAGTGAAAAGCTTTAATTTATTAATTATTGAACTATGTAGTGGGTAGAATTTTAGCATTATTTAATTCTAGGCAAATAACCAATTGTGTCAAGATCACTTATTAAATAAACATTTTCCCCATTAAATTGAAATAATACCTTTTGTTTTCCATTACATTTCTGTAGATATTGTAATTTACTTCTATACTGTCTAAGCTGTTCCTAATTGTATTGATTATAGAGCCTTTATAATGTTTTATTTATTCTTCTACTGAAATTTTAAGATATGAAACTCAATCTTCTTAGTGCCATTCAGATGCTAACTGGAGCTCTATGCAACTTATGTAACTTGGGCCAGGCACAGTGGCTCACGCCCTAATCCCAGCTACTGAGAATGCTTGAGAATGGCTTGAACCTGGGAGGCAGAAGTTGCCATGGGCTGAGATCGTGCTACTGCACTGTAGCCTGGTAGACATAGCAAGAGTCTGTCTCAAAAAAAATACAAAAAAATATTTATGTAACTTGGGGAAAAAATGAAACATGCAGTCCTATCTTGTCAGAGACAGCAATCTCCTTCCATTTATTTGTTCATCTACTATTTTATGCCCTTCAAGTCCAACAATGTCACTGAATATTCCAATGATGTCACTTTGGAATTACTTTTGTCATTGGAAGGCAGGCCCTGGGTCCCAGGACAAGATTCTCCTCTCTGTGGAGAAGCGAGTTAGAGCAGAGGGTCAAAGCGCAAGGTTAGAAAGAAACACAGATTCACATGCTGACCCTGCTCTTATCTAGCCACATGGCCGAGGGCAACCTGCTTAATGTCTCTGAGACTCAGTTTCTGCCTCTGTAAAATGGGGCTGATAATACAACCTGCTAAAGATGCTGTGAGGATTTCATGAGCTTATGTTTATTAAAGGGCCTGGTGTAGTGTGGGGCACAGGGGAGGTCCTCAGAAATGGCAGCTGAGGCCATCTTCACGCAGCCCCGTTTAGTCTCCTAAACCCAGGGAGCAGCAACGTACTCCCTGCTGCCGGAGTAGCCTCTGCTCTGGGGAGCTTGGAGGACACTCAGCTTTCCAGAGAGCAAAATGCATAGAGACTGATTCTATTCATTAGGGCCAGTGGCTCTCAAAGCAGCGTCCCCAGACCAGCAGCAGCTACCAGGATCTCCTAGGTTTGCACAAGAGTCTCTTTCAAGGTGACGTTGATAACACTGCTTATGTAATAAACACTTAGAAAAGAATGAATTTGGACTCCTACCACATGTCATATGCAAAAATTAACTCAAAGTGGATCAAAGACCAAAAAATAAAAGCTCAAATTGTGAAGCTCTTAGAAGAAAACAAACATGAAAAACTTTGTGACTGTGGATGATGTAATGGTTTCTTATATAGGGCACCAAAAAGACAGCAGCCGAAGAAAAAAATAGATATATTAAATTTCATAAAAAGGAAAAAAGTTTGTCAAGGAACACAAGAAAGTGAAAAATCCTCTCATAGGTTGGAAGAAAATATTTGCAAATTATGTATTTTATAGGGAGGTAGTATCCACAATATGTAAAGAACACATCCAACTCAAAAATAAAATGACAGATAACCCACTTTACCTATGGGCAAATGGTTTGATTAAATATTTATCCAAGAAGATATAGAAATGGTCAATAAGTATATGAAAGGATGCCTACCATCATCAGCCATCAGGGAAATGCAAATCAAATCCACAGTGAGATGCCACTTCACAACCACTATCAAGGCTGCGATTGTAAACAATGAATAATAACAAGTGCTGGGTGAGTATATTGAGAAATCACTGCTGGTGTGAAAGAGACATGGTGTATCCTTGGTGGAAAACAGTCTGGTAGTTCCTCAAATAGTTAGACATCTAATTATTATAAAATCCAATAGTTCTTGCTCATATATTCCCAAAATAAATGAAAGCATAGTTATGCTAAAATATATAATAAATGTTCCTAAGAGCATAACTTGTAATAGCCAAAACAGCAACCCAAATGTCCATCACATGATGAATGGATAAACCAAATGTGGTGTATCCATACAGTGGAGTATTATTCAGCCATGAAAAGGAGTGAAGTATACATGCTACACTATGGAGGAACTTTGAGAGCGTTATGCTAAATGAAAAAAGCCAGACACAAAAGATCATATATTCTACCATTCTGGTTATATGAAAGGAGAGCCATCCACCAGGAGCAATCCCATGGCTCGCCTGGCAGATTCCGGCCACCTGGAGACCCACTGCCGCCCCAGGGGGAATTCCCAGGGATGCCCCAGCATCAGGCAGAAGACACGCAGGGGACCCGCCTGCCCTCCCAGCCTTCTGAATATTCGGGAAAGCACAGCAAGGATGGTCAGAAGACAGGATTCAGGAGCTCTGGAAGGTTCTCTGGGAAGGGGTGTTTAAGGTCCAAACGAGAGGCAGACCCAAGCCGGGATCGAGGGCAAGAGCTGGAGAGGATCCCAGCAGATCCACCCAGAGGCTCAGGATGGACCTCAGTGAAGCTTCTGGAGGAAGACAAGCAGGAGGCAGAAGGCGACTTCAGGAGGCCCTGGAAGAACCTATCAGTAAGTTCAGCACCCGGGGACCCAGACAAGAAGCATCCGGAAAATAAGTTGCAAATCCATCTGGGCAGGAAGGTGGGGGAGATCAAGGAGGGCCGGATCCCCAAGCCTGTGCCTCGCTCCCGGCTCATGGCCAAACGTGCTTTTCCCAAGTCTGACACCTGCCAGGACCCTGGGAAGTGGCACCCAGGAGAGGTGGGAAAGCCCACGTGAACACCTCCCAGGAGCTTTCCTTCCTCCATCCCTGCACCCAGCAGATGCTGGAAGCACATCTTTTAAGGTTTCGTGTGAGGCACAGGTGGGGTCCAGACCTCCGGTCCCTGGAGCCCATAAACGTCCGGTCACGTGAGGCTCAGCCCCCGCCCCTCCCACACTCCACCTGTCCCCTCTTGGCCTCCTGCGAGTCTCGGGTTGAACCTGTAGCCGAGGTTGCCATTTTCCTGGGAAAACCTCCCCAGAATGGTCCAGGAGACAGCTGGACAACAAGCAAGTTAGTCCCCGCCGTGATTGGCCCTCTCCCTTCCCTACCACCTGAGCAGGAGGAAGTCCAGAGGGCCCCGAGAGGGTCCCAGTCAGCTGACACTCAGGGAGATCAGAGGCGTCTCCCACTGGACAGGAGGACAGGGGGTCTCAGCCCCTCACATGCAGCCCTGGGGGCAGAACCTGGCACAGGGAGATGGTCCCAGGATCCGGGGAAACCATCCTAGAGGCGAGTACGAGTCCAGCAATGACTGGGAATGAGCCGTGGCCTGAGAGCGAGAGCACGTCCCTGGGAGACCCCTGTAGTGGCAGAGCCCTGCAGGAGCTCAAGGTAGGGACCCCATGGGCAAGTGCCAAGGACGCCCCGGAGCCCCTGGAGGTGGGGGAGGAGAAGCCTCCCGCTTGGGAAGTCACCTTGGAAGCCAGTGAGAAGGTAAATTAGGGAAGCATTCAGGTAGATCTGAGGAGATCAGGGGCTCTGGGGACCACTAGTAATCCCTCAGTGTCCACAGTTTGTGTTGCTGAGAATCCAAAGCAGCCGTGCCTGAGAGCGCAGGTGGTCAGTGAGATCGAGCTCACAGTGCAGGAGGATCCAGAGGAGCAGCTGCCAGGCCGTGCCTTCCGGCCGCCACGTGGACATGCTCCCCGCCACAGACATGCCACCTGCTCAGGCCCCTCTGTCCACCTCCCAGAGTGTGTCCAGTAAGAACACCACAGCTTCCCAGGGGCCACGTGACCTCCCATGAAAGGGAGGGAAAGGCCCAGGGCAGCAGGAGCCTGGGAGCCCAAAAGCGAAGGCCCCACAGAAGAGTGCAAAGGCACTGGGATCTGCAGACAACGGCACGGCCCACAAGAGGCCCAGACCAGGGGAGCCGGGACAGGGGACCAAGAGACCCAAGACCTCAGAAGCCAGTATGGGGAGCCACCCTGCCCACGCCAGGGAAATAGGAGACAAACAGGAAAGGAAATACGTCCACTCTCAGCCGGAGAAGGGACAGGCACCACCAGAAAGCAACTTCCGGAGACAGATCAGCCACCCTCTGCAGGGTCTACCCCCCAGGAAAAGTGGTGTGGGGCAGGAAGATGTCCTACAGAAAGGCAGGCCTGGGGCAGCTGGTGTCCAGAGCCGCGAGTCTGGCCCAGCAAGGTTGTTCATGGACAGCATGGCTGATGAGGCCTGGGCCATCATCATAGTTGTGGGACAAGTCTTGGTGGACAAACGGGGGCTTCAGCAGGGACATGGTCCCTTAGAGGTCAGTCGCCACAAAGGTAACCTCCATTCCCAGGAGAATGTGCGTTCCTGCTGCCGTAGGGGTTACTGCCACCAAGAACACAGCAGAGAGATGGGCGTTCTGACCTGCAGCCCCAAAGCCACCCCCAAGGGCCATGACTGTCATGTCAAAAATAGGGGCAGCAGAGACAGCAATTGGACCCCACGTCCTGAGGAGCCTGCACCCCCAGCTGGTCACCACCACCACAGGCCACGGGTGGCAAGCACCTCGGGCGGCCCCATCCACAGTCACAGGAACTGAGGTCCTCCTTAACCAGAGGAGGCTTCTCACACCTCTCCTGCGGGAAAGAGCGGGTTCTACTCAAATAAAACTGGACACCTACAGAACAAACCTGTCCTGCGTGGGTGATTACAGCCCTCATGTGTTCATGACTTCCACAGAGAGGTTCTCAATACACCTGCTTTTCCTGCAGAGGTGGTGGCTTCTGTCTGTGCCACGCTAGAGTACAGGAAAGGGCTCAGCGTCCGCTTCTCCTGAGCGTGGCTTCCAGAAGGGCTGGGCCTGGAGGAGGCTGACAGGGATGTGGAGGACCCCCTCTTCTCCCTGTCCCCACACTATGTCTGGTTTCCAAACTGGATCATGACCCAGAGCCTTTGAAGGACAGCAAACCCTATGGAGTCCCCGCCTGGGCTCCGGCTGACTGCATCCCCGCTCTCACTAAGGTGACCTCTGTGCTGCTGTAGGGCTGGGTCTGCAGGGGCCTCACGGACTGAGAGGGGGTAGGCTCCCCTCAGGCTGGAGGAGTGATGGATCCCAGGAGCCTCCCTGCCCCGTGGTAGCCTGGGAATGTGGGGGTGTCCTGTACTGGCCCTGGGTCAGAGGTGGGACAGCTCCATCCCCGATCTCCTGGTGGGGAAGAGAGGACATCTTCCCCAGACCCTTCCCTTCCTGCTAGTTCTGGGATGGACCGCCAGCACATGGCTCAGGCTTGATAACACCCCTGTGTTCGCATCTGGTGTCCCGACTCACTCTCCAGAGCAGCCTCCAGGACGAGCCTCCCAGCCCGCTAATGAGTGTGGGGTTGGCGTTTCAGGGCACCCAGGGCTGCTGCCTGCCCCTCTGGTGGAACCCTGTGGTCAGGAACCAGCAAAGGGGACCTTAGGCCCAGGGTGGGAGGTGGGAGAAGAATCAGGGAAGATGAACTTAAGTTCACAAGTGCAGGATCCACAAGCTGCCCGCTGCTGTAACCAGGGTCCTCACAGTCTGGTAACCGCTACATCCAAAAGTGGCTAGGGCCACTCCCAGGGGAGGGGGACCCCAAAGGCAAGGGCAGGCCTGGGTCACACAGCACATCTATGGCTCTGGGTCCAGGTGCTGGCAGGGAACATATGGGGCCTCAAAGGATCTGCTCACATAGTTGGCAGGGACAGTCCCCACAGGGCAGGGTCCTGCACCCTCTCTGTCCTGGTGCTTGTCCCTCCTGGGCATCCCCAGGGAAGGCAGGAGCAAGGGCTGGGCAGGCAAGAGCCAGTTCCCCAGAGGGCTGTGCCCAGGGCGCTTCTGGAGGCTGAGGACAAGGGGACAGGCCTGTCCCCAGGCCTGGTAGAACCCATGCAGGACACCTGTTGGGAACAGGCTCTGGTGTCCCTTTGGGCATCCAGGCTACTGCTGGAGCCAAGTCCTGTTTGGGATGGTGACCTGGGCAGCTCCAGTGTGGGCCCAACATCTATGGGACACAGGGTCCCGAGACCGGCAGCAGAGGAGCACCATGGAGACCCCGTGTAGAGCCCCACACTCAAAGATTCCCACAGAGACCCCCATATTCACAGAGACTTTCAGGTTCCCCACGGTGACCCCCCGAGGCCCTAACAGAGGTTCTGAGACCCCCCATGAAAACTCCCCAGAGAGACTCCCGCGCAGAGAAACCGCTGACAGAGACTCATACAAAGTCCCTTCAAAACCAACACGGAGATCCCCACAGAGACCCCCCACCCCACAGTGACTCTAACAGAGACCTCCAAGAGAAAATATATCAAAGTCACTTTATCACTCCCTAAAATACCAAGAACTGAACTCACTTGTTTAAAATGAGTGGCATCTAACTCATTACCAGCAACGGCTTTCTCCTGCCGGTCCTCTGCCCTCTTCCAGGTAAGATTCCTTGAGACACTGAACAATTGACAAGCCTCCTCCATCAGACAGCGTCCAACTTAGCGACAAGCCTCCTCCATCAGACAGTGTCCAACTTAGCGACAAGCCTCCTTCATCAGACAGCGTCCAACTTAGAGACAAGCCTCCTTCATCAGACAGCGTCCAACTTAGAGACAAGCCTCCTCCATCAGACAGTGTCCAACTTAGAGACAAGCCTCCTCCATCAGACAGCGTCCAACTTAGAGACAAGCCTCCTTCATCAGACAACATTCAACTTAGAGCAATCCCCGACCCTCTGACAGACCCTTCCCCAAATCACCCAGTCACAACCCCCATGCGGATACAAAGCTGTAAGCGTTGATGATAGAAGCTGTGAGAGTTCCTCTGATGCCGTCCTTCTGAGACTGCCCTCAGCTCCTCAGGTCATGCCCTTCCCTCACTGCCAAGGGAATCCCCCACACAGGGTCTAGGTTGGCCTTGCTTACGGGACTCCTGTGGGCCTTGCACTGGAGCACACGGAACAGGAAGGATCTCGGCTTGGACACAGCTTCCTCAGAACACCTTCTCTGACTCCCCTGTGAGGCCAGGCCCCCTGTGTTGGATTCCCCACCCTGGCCCTTCTTCCCTTGTGACAGCCTCTGCACCGTGAGCATCTTTCTCCCAGAACCCTGAAAGCTTCTTGTGGGTCCAGTGAGGAGGGATATGTGCCTGACCACACTCCCGGAACTTACTGTGCCCTGTTATAAATTGTTTCATAAAATCTTAGTGAACAGGCACAGGAATCAATGCTTCCTAATGTACCTCATACACAAGTTGCATCACTAAAATCATCCTTTCATAAAGGGTCATAACTCTTTTCGGTAGCCAATATACTGTTTCAAGGAAAATCTGTAAAAACAAAATGGCATTGATACTTCAAATTTGGCGTATAAAGAAATTTCCAAATTCAAATTATTCCATCTAAGTTACTTATCTTATAGGTCAAATATGAATATCCTTGTAGTTTTTTAATCCTTCAAAGTAAAATTTTGGTGTTTAGAGCATACAAGCTGAAAAGCAATTTTGCTTCAAAACATTCTTTCTAATGTGCCACACATTTATTTTTAAAAACTATTACCAAAGAAGATGTATTTTTAAGTAATTTAAATATACAACTTGTAACAAACACATATATTGTAAATCTACTCTTCTAAAAATGAGGAGCAGCTATGTCCACTTTCACATCTAAAATGTTAAAATATCTATACAACACACTGCTTATTTAAAACCAAATGTAAAATACGGTATTGATAATTCAGCATGCATATTCATTCTGTTTGAAAATTTTTTTAATTATTGAAAATAACTGAATATCTTTTTAAAAATCATCTGTTTGAAAGATGTTAGAAAAGAGAAGGTAGAAAAGTAGGACTGTGTTATCACCTAGCAGTTCAACCTCAATTATAAATACACACATACACGTATCTATGTGTGCCTATGTGTGCATACGTGTGTATACTCATACATATGTGTGTGTTGTAACGACATCACATTAGTATCACCCATTCTATTTTTTGCTGGCATATACTGTTTTTATTATTCTAGAAAGCAAGGCACATCACAATCTCTAGACTTGAGCCCAAGTAACTGTTCTCTCTCCAGCAGTTTCTGCCAGGTCTGCCAGTTTTTGGGTTTGGAAATTCCCTCCTTGCTCACCCCTTATGGGCAGTGTGTCCACCCCACCTAAGGCCCTCTGGTTCTGAGGGAATGTATTATCTTCCTGGGTCCACAAGGGGGCGTAATTTCAAAGGCCAAAACTTCCCAGCACCATAACCTTGCCCCCTCCCCTCTTTCTCCATCCAGGGATTAGAGGTCTTTAAATTTTCGCACACACAGGAAAGGACCAAAGGTCAATCACTCCAGCGGAAGTTTAAAGGAACTCTTTGCGTTGGCCAGGGGGCTTGGAGAAGGTGGGAATTCCTCCCAGGTTAACAGTCCCCTGCTTCCTCACCTCCGTGGAGTCCATCTTTGGCTCCCCTTCCACCAGCCTCGTGGAAGCTTTCTCTCTGTCCAAGATTTCCTCCTCTGGGGTCCCCTTCCACTCAGCGTGGAAGCTGCTTTCCTCTCCGGGATTCCAGACTTGGGTCCCCTTCCACAATCCTTGTGGAGGCTTTCTCTCTCTCATCTTTTTTTCTCTCTCTCTGCCTAAATAAATCACTTTCTGCAAAAACTCTTTGGGATCTGATATTTGCTTGCAAGCACACTGCACCATGGTCCCCTCTCCCATTCTTAGGTAAGTGAAAGACCAAGAGTCTAAAAAAAAAAAATCCTCTCCGGGGCACTAAGCGCTCCCCTGCACCCCAAAAACCAGGCAACAGTTCCACTCGAATGCTCTGAAAATCTCATGAGCATAAAGAGAGTTTTCTTCTAGGAAAACAATAATGGCTCAATGACTGATACCCTATGGGTTCATAAAGAAAGATGAATCTATTTGATTTGTCTATTACCCTGGAAGAGCATATTGAATAATTTCCTTTTTTGGAATAAGTAAGAGTGCAGTTGACTCAAACCATCTGGAAGTTCTCTTTAGTTGTCAAATTCTGTGATTTCAATAGGAAAAGATGGCATCATCCACCCAGCGCTCACCTGAGCTCCTTCTCTGTACCCTGAGGAGGATCCTGGGGGCTGAAGTCACAGCATAGGGTGCTTGTGAGGCATCCTTACCCAGGACCAGCACCAAGGGTGTTGCCACCAGGGATAGCCAGCGTCTCTGAGGACCTCTGCTGTGGGCATTCCTGCAACTTCTTCCCTGTCCCTCCTCCCCGCACCCACACACTTCTTCCCTCCTTTCTGATCAAGAATATACCTTGGGAGCAAGTAGGCAGGAACCAGTAACCTCTTGAGGCCCGGCGCTTCCAGAAAGAGATCAGCAGCTCTCTGTTCTGGGGATGTTTCCAGGAGTTTTTTTCTGCCTGGTGGAGATGTAAGGGGGCTACTGCTCCTTAACACCCTCTTTCAGGGATGTCTCCCTGGTTTACTCTCTCTGGCCAGGGCATTCGTTTGGAGCAGACAAGCCCATCCCCGTCCCAAGTCAACATCTGGAAGTTGCTAGGTCATGGGTTCCAGGTGTTTAGAGCCTCTCATCAGCATGTGACTTGGTTGTGATGATA